CTCATTTCTTATCTTGCTAATGAAGTATCTAAATGTTGACATATTCTTCATGTTAAACATCAGTCTTTAACAACATCAGAGATGACTCGATGACTTAATTCCCTTTACATGAAGAAATACAATTTCAATATAATTTTGCCAATTTGATTTCATTAGAACACCAAATTTGTGATTTGATACATAATCATTAAAGAAATTGAAAATAAATGTTGTTGGCACAGCACTTTGTCTTCATTCGTTTGCAAATCAGTGTTGTATAATTTGTGTGTAACTTCAAATTTCATTTTGCCAGTATATTTGTTTAAAATATTGATTAAGTATATATGAGCTTCATATTTTGTTTTTATCTCTGATGGTCTTCTTCGTCTGTGTCTTCTTAGCTATCATTATAATGATCAATGTCATATGCTCTCTTCTGGCGAGACAAACCGTCTGTAGAATCACCATTTTTAAAATTAACCTAATCAAGAGTTTATCCAATAATGGTTAGCATGAATTGAATTGTCTAGTTTGATCAGACGGTTCGTCTTGTGATATCGGTGTTGCAAACTGCACTCTTTATACTATCTCCTGTGGTTCTGTCGCTGGCATCTCCTAAATGTCGAGTAGCTCTACCGACGTACCAAATAACACGACACGACCACCGCGCATCGACTCTAGCTATGCACTCAGCTCGAACATTCAAAATTAAATATTTGCATACTGCTTGCGACTAGATCCGTAGTCTCTAGTGCTATTGGCGGATACCCGAACTACGCACGACACACAGATACTACCTGATAAAGAGCTTGTACTTTGTGACACAGACTATACGGCCATGGAGCTCATGAGATCATGCCACTAGTCTAACCTAACCTCGCTCTCTCACATAACTGTTATACACCTTTCCATAGCCCACGAGCGGATTCGGCACAGGCCTCCTAAAGAGTATATTCGACAAAATAACCCCTTCGGTAAGGAATTTTAACACGTCTTTTCGATTATTCTTCTTTTATTTGGTTCTCGAGTTTTGACACACTATTTTTGTTCAGCATTCGATCAGTTTTTAAGTTGTTTGAGAGTGGTTTTATTTGAAATTTTTAGTTGAGCATTGGTTTCTACATCATTTGTTTTTTTTCTACACAGTGTGCCCGTATACTAATAGTATCGTAATACATACTAATCTTAGTCACATATTATAATCAGCATAATATTGAAAATTTACTTTGAGTATGCTTTTATACCTATGGAAGTAGAACAGAACAATTTTAGTAGAAGAGAAAGTTCATGTTAGCTAATTTATGCCTATTCATTTTTGTAATAAATATTTATAACTTACTAAAAGTTGAAAATAGTAGTTTATTTTCGTTACAAATAGAATTGTTCTGAAATAGAAACAATGAAGAAACAGAAAAATATTATAGCCAAAAAGTAACATGTTTCAGATTAATATGGGTAGTCCACTACTGGTCCAATCTTGCTTAAAAAGGAAAATTAAAGGAAAACTCCCAGATCAAACGTTTATTAATTAGGACAAACATTCAAATCATAACATCATTCATTCACGTGCAGGCGACAATAAACATAATATCATCCACATAAACATAGCGACTGTATCATGAAATAAACTTCAAACTACAAAATATTCTTCTTCGTAAAACTTCCATCACACTGTATCGAGAATAATTTTGAGAGTAAGAGCATTGAAATCGCTTCCACAGCTACAAACTTTCTAACTTCCACTTCAGCTTTGACTGTACAAAATGCCTTCACTATCCACTCTACTAATTATAATTATTTATCTATGTATTCGCAAAGATAAATTAGATATTTATGTAAACTCGCAATTAGAAATAATGTAATCGTTTTCCCTCAGCAACTTCACTCTTTCGCTTCAACTATCGTATTCAAGAGTAAAACTAGCTTATCAATAAGACCAAGTGTTGGCAGAGTTAGTGTAAAACTTCACCAAGTTTCAAAGCGTTCACTTCACGCGTAACTTCAACGACATCAACACCATCCGCCATCAACATGTTCATCCCGACAGCACATCACTGATTTCACTTTGTTTTGTCTTGTTTGAAAGAAAAAATATTGTCCTTGAAATATTGTACAATTTGGTATCACTGGTATCAGCAATCGGGGATACCGGCCATCGAAATCACTAAAGAGGGGACGGCGGAGCTGGGTAGCGAGGAGGAGGAGCACCGCCGCCGCGCGCAGGTCTGCGATCTCTCTAGCTGTCATCGATGTGCTCTCCATGTGCTAGCACTTACTCACTTTGCTCTCTATCTCTCTCAACTTTGTGCGGACTTTCCCGATCACGAGTTTCCACTTCTCGGTGTTCTGTGTTGTCATCTTCACTTGTCAATGTCCTCGATGTTCGACTCCACACGAGACACAGGCCGCGCGCCTCACGACCCGGTCTTGAGACACAATTAAACAACTAAATTCACAACCCTGACAGATAGTCCAGAACAAGGTTTCCACAAAGCACTCGATACAGATCATCACCTGAGCATGTCCGCGTGTTTGTATGGTTGTGTCCTGCATGTTGTCTTGGCTTCGACGCGACACTCACTCACTCCTTTCACACACCTTCACACTCGATGTCTCCTAAAGACCCAAATGTTTATAATAAAACCGGGGTTATCCTTGGAAGAAAACAGATTTAAAATAACAAACGAATAATATTTTTTAAATCGAGTTGAACTTTTATTTATCTGCCGCTGAAAAGCACTTTTGGAACCAATGATTTTATCCGCTATGAATGATGTGGTTTCAAGTGTAACCGCTGCACGCTAGCTTTCGTTGTGCATGGGGGTTGACTAGAGCTACATCCGGAATGTCTTGTTTATTTACGCCCGACGACAAGGTAATATTTTGATTGCTTCGAAGCGCATTAACGCCAATGTTGAGTCTTGGCTGAGAGCTTTATGTTGCTGTTGGCTTCGCAATGGAAAATCTAACCTTATTAATGTGTTGGTTCGTACGGACGTCAGCAGCAACCGTCCCAACCAGCGCAAGCGTCGCAGCAGCCTTCGGGTCAGCAGTACCCGAATACACAAGGCTACCATGGCACGCAGCAACCCCCATATCAGGGGGGCGCGGGGCAGTTCCAAAGTAACGCGCAGCAGCCGTACCCCGGGCAGCAGCAGCAGTTCCAGCACAACCCGGCGCCGCGCAACCACCACGAGCGCGGACGCCCTCCTAACCCCCATCAGGTTTTACACCTTTCCCTTCTTTTCTCTCTGTAGGTCAGCAAACCTTGAACATCTGTAAAATATTGTTAACACATTCAAAGAGCATCTGCCTGCACTATTGTTTTATTTTATCGAAACCACCTAGTTCTCATACAGTCTCAAGGTTTACTGATCCTCGCTCTTCTTTCATATTCTGGAATGTACCTTTACCTTTCTATCTACTTGCTACTTCTTTAATTTAAACATCTGGTCAATCCTGAGAATGCTATCCTAAAAAGAACCTTTTATCAAAGATTTTGCATTTATTTACAGTGAAATTATTATTGTCAGTATTGATTGAAGAGTGCACCAATTTTGTAGTTTATTTCGCTAACACTTGACATGCGCTAATCTAAAAGGGTCCTGTGTAATACAGCATTCTCGTACAGCAACAGGCGGGCCAGGTGGGGCCTCAGTATGGGCCACGGGGGGCCCCTCCGCAAGGGCCCCGGGGGCCGCCGGTGCCTGGCCAGAGGCACCAGCAGGGGGCTCAGTCGAAGCGGAGTCGCTACTTCATCGCTCTCTTCGACTACGACCCGGTTACCATGAGCCCTAATCCGGAGAGCTGCGACGAGGAACTGCCGTTCAGCGAGGGGGATACTATTAAGGTTCGTACAGAACCTTAACCGTGGCACATCCTTTCCTCTCATATTATAAGCTACTAATGGCTTTTTTCTTACCAGGTTTGGGGGGATAAAGACGCAGACGGGTTCTATTGGGGAGAATGTCGGGGACGACGGGGCTACGTACCGCACAACATGGTGATGGAGGTGTCGGAGCAGGAGGCTGCGGGCGGCATGGCAGGCGGCATGGCGGGAAATATGCAAGGAATGGCGGCAGGAATGGCGGGAAATATGCAAGGCATGGCGGGACAGCAGAAGCGCGGGATCAGCGACCGCTGGGCAGATGCGTACGCTAACCAACCAGTCCGAAGAATGGTTGCGCTGTATGACTATGACCCTCAGGAGCTGAGCCCCAATGTGGACGCTGATGTAAGTGAAGTAAGAAACTTTTTAGATAGTAGTTTTCGGACAGTAGCTTGAATTAGTTGGCTCTCTTTGGCTACTATGTGGTAAGTGTAGACAAACTAGCTCTGGCTCCTTTTCTATTTCTTCAAGAAGGACTGTTCTTTTTTTCACAAGTGTCAACAAAAAACAAAAATATAATATTCAGCAACACAGCAACAAAAATTATTGTACGTATTGTAGTTTTTTTTTTGTAGAATAGGATAGTTTGTTGAATAAATATTTTCGACGGTGCAAAACACAAGTTTCCTAGACCAATCGAAACAAGGAAAGCTGTTGATATTAATTTGTAATCTTTAGATATTTTTTCAACCTTATCACTTTATTCATTTCTTCATCAATCAATATACGAGTAGATACTTCTTTACTTACTTCTTTTGATTTCCTATATTCATGTAACGTTTACTCTAACTTCAAAATGTGAACCAAATTTAGAGTAAAACTTCTTGTTGGTCTAAACGTTCTCTCTGTCAAGCGTCATATAGAGCATTCATTGTTCTAATTTTTTAAAAATATAGAAGCACGGACTCACCATCTGAAATCATCGTTTCCAGGCGGAGCTGAGCTTTCAGACGGGGCAGATCATCCACGTGTACGGCGACATGGATGACGACGGGTTCTTCATGGCCGAGATCGATGGCCAGCGAGGGTTGGTGCCCAGCAACTTTCTCACCGACGCCAACGACCAGTACGGCGCACAGCAAGGTGGACAAGGTAAACTAATAAATGAAAATAAGAAATTGAAAAAATATCATGCATCGACCGGGACTCGAACCCTGGCCGCATGGATCAACGCCCCACCGCTCTGTCACTGAGCTGTCGATGTGCCGATCGATTTTTGCCAAATTTCAATCTCTTGATACTCGCCTCCAAGCGACGATTTAGCGACATCTAGCTTTAAGACGAGCATTAAGAGAAATCAGCTAGCATCGGTCGGTGCATCGATAGCTTAGTGGCAAGGTAAACTTATGTCGCTCTATAGCAAAACACTTACTTCATCTTCAACAGCCACAAAAGCTACTGCTGAACGTAAATCTCCCCTGATTAGCGGTAATTGTCATACTTACCACTTCTGGCAGGGAACGCTGCTGCCCATTCCCTGCATGTGACGACCACTTTTATAAATGGGTATTAACTTTTTGGTTACAAAGGATTCGAACCCACGTCTTCTGACAAGCCGGGTCAGACGTGTTAAGCCGCTACACCACGGCGGGTTCTGCCCGAGGCGGCGAAATTGTGATCCACTTGCTTCGTTCATATTGCTTTGTCACTTGACTACTCACGGGTAGCTTGAGCGCCATCTATGACTTTGTAGTAGAACTATACAGTCACTCAACTGACAACATTACGTATGTACAAGTTGACGAGAGATGGAGCTTTTTCCGATTTGTGAATGTTTACTATTTTGAAATTCACATTTAGATTTTAGATTCACAAATCGGAAAAAGCTCCATCTCTCGTCAACTTGTAGCGGCTTAACACGTCTGACCCGGCTTGTCAGAAGACGTGGGTTCGAATCCCGCCGGCGGTGTGAATTTTTTCCGCTTGCTTCGTTTGTATTAACTTTGTAATCAAAAAGTTAATATCAATATCTAGTGTTTGATTAAAACACCAAGTGTTCCAAAAAATACTATCTTGTGGAAAAATTTCTTCAAAATAGTAAACATTCATTTTATAAATGGGGTAATTAATTCTAAACAAAATACGTCAAAATAAAATTGACAAATAGTTTTCAGAATACTTATTTTTTTACTTTGTGAATATTTAGAATTATATCAAGCAACAGACGTACTGCTTCTTTGCGATATATTTCAAAAACTTAAAACAAAAAAAATAGACACGCATTGAATCTAATCTAACGTTTATTTATAAAGTTTAATTTAAATACGCTCTCAACGCTTCTCTATCTTTTTTTGGTAGGGTCACAAGTACTATTTATTGGAGAAACCGTTCGAGCAGCCTTGTGGGAATTTTTGGTTTCTCTATTTGTTACGTACGCATCATATTTATTGTAAAACTTTCGTCATTTTCTAGGTGGCCCAGGCCGAGCTGGCGCCCCAGGCGTGCCGGGTGGCGCGGGGCGCGGGCGCGGGGCCCCCACCGGGCCGGGCGCGCGGGGGCCTCCCCCGCCGCCCCGCGACAACGCCCCTGCGCCCCGCAACCACCACCGCAAGCCAGGTGAGTCGAGACAAACAGACTTATATACTCGCTGTATCATTCGCGAAGAGGGATCAAGGGAGTCGAGAAAGCTATTCTAACTTTTTGTATCATTCGTTGATTGAACTTTATGATTATGACAGCGAAGTTTCAATGAAGATCTTAACGTTGATAAGTCCCCATAATTTAAGGCTTCTCTACTTTTATTTTTCAAAGTGTTTGTAGCTTTTCCCATTTGAGGACCTTAAATATTTATTTTTATTTCATTTAGCCCTTGTCCTATGGTTTTCTTTTCGTTATCTTTACAATTTTATTGATGACTCCTTACTTTCCGATTTTCAATCTTTTCACCATCGGTTTTATCATGTTCTATGTTTTGTTCTTCATAAAATATATATGCAATGTGTATATTTATCTTTATTTATTTTCTTTATCTTTATTTGTCCCCTTTTGTCATTTACTTCTTTTTATGAGTTGCTTTACCATCTAACACAAGGTTACCTAACGGTAACATTTCATCCATATGTTCGTCTTCCTCGATCCCTCCGACCGTTTTATAGTTACTATCCCTGTTAGCTGTATAAACTTATAAATAAGTTAGGTAAGTCGGCGATAAAGATCAGGATTATCACTGAGAGCTTTGAGTGTTTCATGTTTGCACCTTGGACTTGCTATGTGACGAGAAGCTAGCTATTTCGCTCCTATGGTATCCTCTATCGTCTTTCCTGTACACTGCGATTGCGACGGGACTCTTCGGAATTTGGAATTTTTATGTGTTCCGTTTTGCTTTCTTCCTCTTTGAAATTGTTGTTTTGATGAACATCAGCTATGCTGGCAAATTCAGACGTTTCATTATAGCATAAGGCGTGAATAACATATTTTTTGGATAAGATGGCCTATATATCATCAAAATCATTTGGCTTTTCAAGTACTTCAATCAAATTGCTCATTTTGCTTACTGGTTTGGCTCAAGCGGTATCAAAACGCCATAACGTGTTTGAATATTCTAAAAGCGCTGGAAATGTATGAATTTGTAGAGCATGCACAATCGATTGGTATTTTAAAGTATTTGAGCTTTGTATTTTAGTAAAACGGAATGTGATGCGAGTCCGGTTGCAATCCTTGGAGCACAAAGACTCTTGGTGTACACTCTGCTAAATAAACACTATCTTGGATTACACAGTCACAAACATGGTATGATTTGTAACGAGAAGTTTCGACAACGGTTAATGCGATTACACGTACCTCGGTAAACGTCTAGGCGTTAGGGAGGATTCAGGCGTGCTATACGCGTGCTGTGCGCGTACTGAGCGCTTCTTTAGTATAGAGTCACCCGCGCAGCCAATACGCGCGGGCCAGTCACAGAGGCCGTCTATGGTCAACGCGTAGGCCGCGCGCGTGTCTTTGTACGAACTCGAGGTCAACACGCGCACATCCCGCGTAGAGCCCGCGTATGTCTGAACCCGCTCTTAAGGATATATCTTATTTTATTTTTATCTGCGTCTATCCAACTCTCTGTCCTGTTTATGTTTTGTTGTCGTCGGTCGAACGCGCGGGCGCTCTCGCGACTGAACAAATACACGCAACATAAGCACACGTGTGTGTGACGTGTGATCCAAGATATAAGCGGTTGTCTGTGGTCACTATATGTTGTGTGTATTGTCTGTTTGCTAGATGCCTGCCCTCTTCCCCCTTCTCAGTTAGACCACAACACATGCGCCAGTAATCCAGAACAGGCGAATTCTCAGGTAAAAATACCGTTTATAATTCGACCCACAAGAATACTTTCAAATATACTATGCAAGGACCTAGTCGTTTTTGTTGGACTATCACTTTCATATCTCTAGATTTTGTTTTGTTTCACGGTTTCCTTTCGGTTTATTCGTTTTTATTTCCATATCTACGCTCAGTGTGGTGATGACTGTGATGAGAGACGTCTGGTACTGTGATCACGGGGTTCATTCTCACTGGGTAAAATTATACACATCATGTAGCGTCATCATCCGGACCAGACCATACAGGGACTACAGAACAGACACTGGCGTATACTTCACTCACATCAGATATATACCATACCCATTCACCATTACTAACATCTGAGGCCTGTGAATGTGGTCCTTCGACTATACGATTACTTTCATCTTCGAAGAGTCGATATACTTACGTACCTAGATGATCTTTTGTATGTAATATACCGTGCTCAACATCTCGACTCAATGTAATCGAATAGTATCTATCTCTTTCTGAATGCTTTATGTTGTAGTTGACCAAAGCATGATAAATGTACAGATTTTTGACCCTATGGCTTTTTTAAAGGCCTTCTGGGAGATTTAGAGTTAAATAGAAAATATTAAAATATTTTTTTATCCTTTCACACCGCTTTATTGTATGGCAATGCATGTTTATGATATCGCACATTTTTTATATTCTTATGATTAATATTCTAAATTAGTTTAAGATGTAACTAGGTACCTACACGTATGGTAGCCAGGAAACATACATACCTACCTACCAGCATGCACCGCAATATAACTGCAATTGAGATAGGCATACATTTTATATCCACAATTGCAATTTACCAATGTTAAAAATTAAGTTTTGGGCCATATGCAACAGATATACTATCTCAAAGAGCTGATTGATTATAGTTTCCTTAATAATATATTCGCTTCTCTTTCACAATAACCAAACTATCACCATTTCATGAAATGCTCTTCAAAATTGTAACTTTGATATTTGTTAACGCCAGTTAATTACCATCATGAATCAAAAAGATGGTGCTGAATAAATTAACTACATCAAAGTTTAAAGATACCAAATTGATTCAAGATTTATATTTTGCAAATATCAAAGTATCGATGAAGAAGAGAATTCTCTGTACCAATTTTAAAAAATATAAATATTTTCAACAGATCCACTATACACAATTGCGAAAAACTTTGTAGCTACGAAAACTTACTACCTACACGTAAAATGAAGGTTTAATCAGACGGGTGAGACCTCTCTCTCCCATTCTGACGAGAGTTAAAGTATGAGTCGCCTTTATTCAACGCCTTATTCAATGGTAGCTACTTACTTTATCGCTATTGTGTGTAAAGGACTTGAACTATTTGTTGAAATGGCTAGAGCGTGTGTTGTGTGTGCCAGGCGAGGGGGAGAGGCGCGGCGCCGGGGAGCGCTCAGCAGCCGAGCACGATCGCGCGCACGAGCGCTGGTAACGCCGCCGGCACGCCGCCGGTGCAGTCGCCCGGGCAGCAGGCCAACATGCCCGGCAACACTGGCATGACCGGCATGACTGGAATGAGCATGCCAATGAGCGCCGCCGGGAGCATGCCCGCCACGTCGCAAGCCGCCGCCTCGCCGCTGTCGACGCGGCGCGCTGGCCCGGCCGTGGTGCCGGCGCCCGCGACGCAGCCGCTCGCGCCCGCCGCGCAGCAGCCGCAGCAGCCGACCGCCGCGCAGCCGAACCTCATGCAGAAGTTCACTGAGATGACGGCCCCCGGCGGTGACATCCTCAGCAAAGGCAAGGAGCTCATCTTCATGAAGTTCGGCCTGGGAGGGAAATAATGGCGGCGCCGCGGGCCCGCCACCCCCGCACCCCCGCTATTAAGTGCGCAGTTTTTCTACATGAGACCGCGCGACGCGGCGAGAGAACTTTAAAAATGTTGT